AAAGTGGCGGTTGGGGGTGGTGGAAGGGGAGGAGATGAGATGAAACAGTTCCAAATGTCACTTCTATCATATAGTTATTCTCATACTACCCGTAGCTGAGCCCTATTAGGAAGATTCATATTTTCAAAATAGTTTTTAACCTCCTGTATTTCAAGTGTCTGCCTTCAATACTTTTTCATGTCACATTTTAATCGGTGCAAAATTAACATAATTTGTTTTAATTAAACACACGCAAGGAAGAGATTTCTCCTAAAAGTCAAAATTATACCTGTGGCATCTGATATGCATTCTCTATGGTTGCCTTAATTCATGGGATGAGGACTAATATTTATAATCAGTGACAGAAAAAGTCAGTTCTGTTCTTGATTAAGGCAGCTATACAGATTAGCATTCACAAAGTAAAGTACAGCAACACAAGCTTGCCATTGTAACCACTTCCCTGTTTTCCCTTTCCTTTAAAAGGTTTTAAATAATTCATTATTAAGTCTGTGGAATTCCGTGCCATTATTTCTCAAGATTCCTAACTCAGATCCAATTCTCTTGATGCCTATATTGTAGAAGGAGCCCCCAGTGGCACAATGGGCTAAACCCTTGTGCCGGCAGGACTGATGACCGACAGGTCGGAGGTTCGAATTCGGGGTAATCATGGACATGCTTATGATACCGTAAACCACCACCTCCTCCTGAGAAAAAATGTATAATATCACAAAGGACTACTGTCTCACCTGCCTCATAGGAAACCTGCTACAAAACAGGAGCTTCTTTGTTGAGTTCCAGGGCTAGAGAAGCAGATGGCGAAAACAGAAGAACGGCCTGCCTCAGGGAAGTGTGCTTGCCCCATCCATGTTCAACATCTACACAAATGACCAGCCACTGCCAGAAGGGACAGAGAGCTTCATCTATGCTGATGATCGTGCCATTACTGCTCAAGCAGGGAGCTTTGAGATGGTTGAACAGAAGCTCTCCGAAGCTCTAGGTGCTCTTACTGCCTATTACAGGGAAAACCAGCTGATCCCTAATCCATCTAAAACACAGACATGTGCCTTTCACCTTAAGAACAGACAAGCATCCCGAGCTCTGAGGATCACCTGGGAAGGAATCCCACTGGAGCATTGCAGCACACCCAAATACCTGGGAGTCACTCTGGACCGTTCTCTGACCTACAAGAAGCACTGCCTGAACATCAAACAAAAAGTGGGTGCTAGAAACAATATCATACGAAAGCTGACTGGCACAACCTGGGGATCACAACCAGACACAGTGAAGACATCTGCCTTTGTGCTATGCTACTCTGCTGCTGAGTATGCATGCCCAGTGTGGAACACATCTCACCACACTAAAACAGTGGATGTGGCTCTTAATGAGACATGCCGCATTATCACGGGTGTCTGCGCCCTACACCACTGGAGAAATTACACTGTTTAGCCGGTATCGCACCACCTGACATCCGCCTGGGAAGTAGCAGCCAATAGTGAAAGGACCAAGGCAGTGACATCTCCAGCCCATCCCTTGTTTGGGTATCAGCCAGCACGTCAACGACTTAAATCAAGAAATAGTTTTCTAAGATCTACAGAGACACTCGCTGGAACACCCCAGCAAGTGAGAGTCCAAAAGTGGCAGGCTAAACCCAGAACCTCAATCAATGGCTGATACCAAATGAGAGACTCCCCCCTGGGCACACAGAAAACTGGGTGACTTGGAAGGCAGCTGAACTGACTGCGCTCTGGCACCACGAGATGCAGAGCCAATCTTGAAATGGGGCTACAAAGTTGAATCCACAACATGCGAATGTGGAGAAGAGCAAACCACTGACCACCTGCTGCAATGCAGCCTGAGCCCTGCTACATGCACAATGGAGGACCTCCTTGCAGCAACCCCAGAGGCACTCCAAGTGGCCAGCTACTGGTCAAAGGACATTTCATCAACTACCAAGCTTGCAGATTCTGTGTTTTGCCTGTCTGTTTGTTTTTGTTAAAAATGTAATACAAATGTCTGGTTGCTGATGACACGATAAATAAATATGGACAAGCTCCCTTTGTCAGCTCCAGCTCCCCATGTGGGGACATGAGAGAAGCCTCCCACAAGGATGGTAAAACATTGAAACATCCACACATCCCTAGGCAACGTCCTTGCAGTTTCTCAAGTCTTTCCTGACATGAAAAAAAAATTGTAGAACTGCTGTCATTGTAATACAGGCAAAAGTTTAAACACAGCACTCTGAGTGCCCTTCTACACAGCCGTATATCTCAGAATATCAAGGCAGAAAATCCCACAATATTTGTTTTGAACTGGGTTATCTGAGTCCACACTGCCATATATTCCAATTCAAAGCAGGAAATGTGGGATTTTATTCAGTTGCGTAGAGTATCTTTGAATTATTAACAGGACTTTTGTGAAAATATACTATTTTGCAGAGAAGGAAAGGTTAGTAAAGGTTATATATGATAACAAACTTTGACTATCCTGAAAAATAATTGTTGGTGTCAGCAGGTTTGCAATGGCTTTTGCTATCAACCAAAATGCCCCCCAAAACAGCTCAAATCAAGCCCAAAATTTATTTCCAATCAGCTTAGAATACTTGCATTGTGGTCAGTCACATTACGCACCTGATGGGTTCTTACAAGGCCATTTGCCCGCTTCCACCGTAAACTTTAGACTTAGAGTCGCCCAAAGTCTAAAACAACTTGAAGGCCCACAGCAAAAACAATGCTAATTAATAGGCCTGGGTAACAACGGAAAAATTTGTTTCTAAAATCGATTTGTATTTGGGGGGTTTTTTTGTTTCGATATTTAAAATAATTCCAAAATTTTCCTTTTAAAAAGTTCGATATTTACGAAATTTCGTAAATGGTAAAAAATTAACGAATCGATTTCCGAAACAATAACGAATCGATTCGTTAATGGCGGACGCGACCGCGAAATACGCTAAAAAACCTCCAAAACCTTCTGAAGCTTCCCTCTCCCTCTGTTGTTGACTGTTGGTGTGATATTATAATTTTTTTTCACTAATTAAACCATAAAACTGGCCCAGACATGCGGAAATAATAACGAAACGACCTCAGAACAATAACGAAACGAATACAATAACGAAATACGAAGCATTTACAAAACGTGTTTAAAAATTCGTTTTTTTAATTGCTCCAGAATGGTTCGTTATCGTTTTGTAATTGGAAAAATTAACGAATTATTAACGAATTACGAATTAACGAAACGAAACTGCCCAGCCCTACTAATTAACTTGACTATCTCCACACTCAAAAGCAGGCCCACGCTTCCCATTGAAATACTGGTAAGTTTATGTTGGTGAAAATGTCAGAATCCGAACTTCAGAAGTCATCAAAGACATAGCTTTTTATTTTAGACAAGTAGAAAAGTTATATAATTTTAGAATCTGGACTGAATCCGATAAGCAATGCATGGCTTGGAAATGCTTCCCTACATTCTGATAAATGGGAGCCTGGACATTTGCCTGAAAATCCTGCTTTGATAGCAACACTGTTTTACACCTCCTTCAATATCTTTTCCCAAAAGCTCACACATCTACCCAGACACTCGTACATGATCTCACTCATCCTACAAGATGGGATCAATGTGCCTTTCAAATAGCATGCTGTCTGTTTTTCCCTCTGCTACCATAGTAGAAAGTCAAATAAGCCCAAACCAAGTGAATTACTCATGCATCATCATAAATCAAAAGACTGAGGAGGCTTGCATGGTTTAATGATATCATAAGCAACTCATTGTATATTTATAGCCGTGTGTACAGTTTCCTGTTTCTGTCTATGCTACTAAAATAAACTCTTTCCCAACCTCCTAACATCCTTATGCCTCAGTCTAGGAAACAGAAAGGTTGTAAGTGTATGAAATCCAATCACAGATGGTTGCAGATTTCAAATTTAAGCCTCTAGTCTTCTTTAGGGTTTGTTCTCATATTTTTGTCATGGTATCTTGCCTAATTAGATAGATACATAAGGAACCGCCATGGCACAATGGGTTAAACCCTTGTGCTGGCTGAACTGCTGACCTGAAGGTTGGCATTTCGAATTCACGAGATGGGGTGAACTCCTGTCCGTCGGCTCCAGCTTCCCATGCAGGGTCATGAGAGAAGCCTCCCACAGGATGGCAACACATCCGGGTGTCCCCTGGGCAACATCTCTGCAAATGGCCAATTCTCTCACAGCAGAAGCGACTTGCAATTTCTCAAATTGCTTCTGACATGATAAAAAGATAGATAGATATTTCAGATTGTTGCATTTATTTAGCCTGCAGGTGTGCGCTCACACTCATTTCCACCTGAATTAGTTAAGAATCAGATTTTTCCAGGCCATAATGCTACTGTAACTACTGATTGCCTGTGCTTCCCAGACTCAGGAAAGGTTTTTTTTAAAGAAAAGAAAAGGCCAACTTTGCCTTTTGCAGCAGCATCCTAAAGGATGTTGTATCAGATGGATTAAAAGTAACACATGAGTCTCTTGCTATAGACCCAAGATTCCTTGAACAAAGTCACCCAGGGAGTAGTGTGACCTTTATTTAAAATAAGGGGGGGGGGGAGAGTGCTTCCTTTCAGGAAGTAGGAATTGCCCCAGAATAACTATATTCACTATTCAACAACAGCAAAATTTTATTACAGTCTAAAGACCCAAATAGCGCAACAAAGATACACAACGTGCATTTCTTGCATTTAATAAACTAATTAAAATGCAAGAAGACATACTAGACAATATATATATATCAACAAGAATGAGAACACTGCTAATAAGTACAAAGGCTAATTTTAGCCTGGGTCTAGTACAGGAAGTTGTCTTATCCTGGAGTAACTGTATGTTTTTGTTGATGATGATACATACAGACAGAGGTATGAAAGTCAAACTTTTATCCACTACACTTTCATCTTCATTTAAAATCAGACACTACTTTGCTTCTCCTTGATGTATTATACATTTTTGGATTATTCTCCAGTAGCATTTGCTGATTGTGTCTTTGTTTGGTTTTCCACCAAGACAGTTGTACCAGCTCCCTCCCTCTGCAAGTTCTCCCTATTGTAATTCTGAATCAAGCAGATCATCCAGGTAAGGTACAATTTGTGCCAATGTAATACAAATCATGTATTTTTAAAATCTCTGATAGGTCTCTCACAATAAGGATTGATCTACAACTTTAGCAATGTGTATCTAGTGACAAATTTCTGGAAGTAATTCATTTTAAATAGGTAAATTTTTAGAGTAAAGATTTTTCCCATTTCAGTAAGGATTTCTAGATGACATAACTTATTTATTTATTTACTATATTTGTATACCACCCATCTCAATCCTCAGGCGACTCAGGGCGGTTTACAATGGCAATGATTCGATGCTCAAAAACACCATAAAATATTTAAAAACATTAACACATAATATAAAATCATACCAAGAGTATTAAAAACAAATCATTTGTGTTTCCTAATAAAAACATTTTATTCAGATTCTTGAGGACTGATTTTCCCACAAGATGGTTGCAAACTCATTTATAAATGATGTTTATATTTTATTTGTTCTTGTCCCTTCATGAAGACATTATGGTTTAAAATACTGTAAGCCATACAAGGTGATGTGCTTGGATTGGATGGATCTCCCGAAAATTTATTTGAGTCATGGTAAAAAATGGAAGTCAAATCTTGCAAAGGCAAACAAAGCTGGGATAGAAGAGATGCCAAGAAAATAGACAGATAATGTAAGGTGGTGGGTGATAAGAACAAGTGGTTGGTACCACGGAGAGCTCCAGCAGGGGCTAAATCTTAGAAGCCACACCACCCTTTTCTTTTCCATTAATTTTAATTTTTACCATAACTAATACACATACAAAACTGACTCTGTTTTCTAAAGAAAACTAACAAAGGAAAGGAAAAAACCCTCACATATATATCTAGTATGATATAACATTTAACATATAATAACATGAAGATTGATATTAAACTAAACCTATGAAGAATCTAGCTTTTTCCACAATGGTATTTATTAATACCATTGTGGAAAAAGGTCACAAAGAGTCGGAGGTCACGAAGAGTCGGAGATGACTGAACGAATGAACAACAACAACATTTATTAATTATTCAATTTGACTTTTCTATATCCAAATATACAACCTACTTCAATGTTTAATTTGAAAAATAAATAATTCTCCAGATCTGCGAACATCATCTCGCAATCTCCCGCCTTCAAAAATGGCAAGAAATGCTCCCAGTCGCCCACAAAATTGTCAGCTGATTTTTCTCTCATTAATATTGTTAATTTATCAATTTCTACTAACTCGAACAATTTCAATATCCAGTCCTCAAGTGAAAGCATTTCCTTACATTTCCATCTTAGGGCATATACTGAGCTGGCAGCTCAAGTGCCCAAAATGGTAGGAGTGATGCATTCTCTACCTTGTGGATGAATGCCACTCAGGCCAAAAATTAAGGTGAGAACAGAGGGAGGGTTACCATCCTTTCTTTGATTTAAACAAATGGGGTGGGAACTTCTGTGCTCTGCTTTTTGTCACTGACTTAGGGCTTGGTAACAAACAGAGGCAGGTTGTTTTCCTTGCTCTTCTCCCATTTTTTTCAGACATTCTCATTCCTTTTCCTCATTTAGATTCCTTTTCCTACCTGTATTTTATAGACATAGACATTCTAAGATCATCAGTGCAATTTACAACCTCCCCAGTTGTAACTCCTCTAATAAATATATGCTTTTCTTTTCTCCAGCTCTCCTATGATCTTACTATGCATTTTTAAAAAGAGAAAAAATATTTGTTTTTCAAGTGCTCCTGAGTTTTACCCTTGATTTATCCATTGGCCAAAGCAAAATCAATAATTTTGTCCCCTGAACCTGACCGCAACTTATACAAGGGGTCAACTTATAAATGAGTACGTATGGTAGTTAAAAGGGTGAGCTGATTTTTAGAAAGTGGAATTTGGAGTGCTGTTATATTGTCAACCTCAACTGGAATATAAATTTTGTAGAACTCACATTTAAACTGACCATAAATAACGCCAAATTAACATCACCTATCATAAATGTCTATTTGTCTTCTTTTTTTCCACCCACAAGTTCTGTGCCTATTATTACACTCATAGAATGTCAGGTTCTAAAGGAGAAAGCTAACCGTATGATTTCATGCTGGCCCATATAAACTTGATTTCTGCAGACACTTTCCACAAGCATTAAATTGATAAAAGACGTAATGTAGATGGGCCCATGGCTGAACTGAGGGTAATTGCATAAAAATGAAACAGAGACCTATAATTGTGCACCGCTTTCTCTCGACTACAATGTTTTCTGGAAGACAGGATCCTGCTTGTCATAGCAAGTTGCTTGTTATGGTGATTGTACCAGGACTTGATCTTTCTGTAACAAGACACGTATAACATTACTTAGTGGAAGCTTTTCAGAATAAGAGCCTGACAGTAAAATGCACTCTATTTTCATTCTTGAACAAACAAAAGAGTCCTTGAATGACAGCTCTTTTTTTACCCTTTTCTTTGAGGGTGTTGTAATGGGGAATTCAGGTTAAATCTATGCCTTTTATACTTCTAGTTTTGATTTCCTCTCCAACAGCACTTGAAGGATAAAGCTCAGCTTGACATACAGAGCAGCCTGTGGATATAGCAAATGCTAATCTAGCATTTACTGATTATTTCCTTCTGAATTTCTTCAGCTGAGTACTGTTGAATGCTTATGAGCATTTCAGAGAGCCATAATGGCAATGTTGGAAATTGGTCAGAATTTCTGGGCCTTTTAAAAGATGGTTATTACATTTTAAAATAGGTTTTACTAAAGAGGCAAATTGGTTAATAGCCTCCATCTATGAGCAGGATAATGATATGTAGATATTCCATCAAGAAGGATTAAAATGGTGTCTGAAACTTGGCCCCAAACCAATATATCAATGTGCACAACTGCAAACTATCTCCAATGCACAAAGGTGCACCTTAGTTACTTAATTGGTAATTAGAAAGAAGGGCCAGATCTAAAACCTTATGAGTGAAAATAATGGTAAATCATCAATGGAACCTTTTATCTTGAAAACTCTATAATGAGACAATCCAAAATAAAACAAGAGACAATACCAGAAGATGAAACTTTCAAGCTGGATGGCATTCAACAAGTTATTAGGAAAGAGGAGGAGTATGAGTAGTAGAGTAACTAATCATGCAACTGGATTCAAGAAAAAAAGATGTACAGCTATTAATATGCTCAGAAGTGAAAGGAAAGTCTGAAGCTGCACACAACACATACAATGGGACCAGGCATTCGGGTAGCAGGCTTGACAGCAATTGCAATGTTTTTGAGAACTGACTATGGACAGACTTTGGACTGGGTCGTTGGTCGCTGTATTGGACTCAGATATGGCTGTATGGCTACTAATAATGTTTTCAATTGATTTTTACCTATTGTTTTATCTACTGTGTCATGTCATGTTATATTGTGTTTTTATATGTGTGGGCATCGAATTGTTGCTGGTTGTAAGCCACCCTGAGTCCCCCCTCGGCAGTTGAGAAGGACAGCGTACAAATGTTTGAAATAAATAAATAATAAATGTGGGAAGCATTAATCAGTGGAAGCTAGATATAGATGAAATTAACGAAGCAAGGGCTGAGTAGGGCTGTTGATGATAGGGCAACCTGGATTTTAGAATTTATAATGGTGATGGGCACCAACTTGATGAGATTTAAAGGGAAATCCTAAAATTCATGAAATATCAGAATACAGATTTTTCATCAATGACTTATTAGTCATGGTATATTCACTTTTCAAAGGGTAATTTCTGGAAAGCATGAGCAAGAAGGCGATGTTATCCTCATATCCTCCTTATGAGCTTTTTCAGAAACATGGGTTTTCTAGCACAGATCTTCTGTTCTTGATTAGTGTTCCTCTACATTTTGTGATTTTTTCATAAACATATTTGAGAGAGGTCAGCATTAAAATCTTTAAAATAAAACAACTCTGATGCTAATATTTAATTTCAGCCATGTCTTATGGTGTTGGATACCTTACGTACTATGAATATATGAGATGTATGGAGGCAAGCTCAAAACATCTAATCCTCTTGATAAATTAATTTTGACTATCTCTTCTGTTATAGAAACTCAGCTAGCAATTAAGGATGAGAAACCTGTGAAAGGTATTGTTCTCAGCTCAGTATCAGAATTCAGCATCACAGATGTACCATCCAAGGACACCAAAAATGAAAGAAAACTGTCAGAGTGTAGCACGTCATCTACGTTATCATCCCTTAAGAAATGCAGAACACAATTCAGCTACCTTGAAGAGGATACGTCCGTCCATGAAAGAGACAGTAATGGTATGTTTTCCAAACTAAGCAGGCTCCAATAAATCATCTATATTTCAAAATAGTACCATTTTTTTTTAAAAAAAAATGTAAAATGAGTTATAGGTGGCAGCAAATTGTTGACTAGGACTAGAATATTATGTACAAATCAGAATTATCAAAAATGTATTGAATCACTTTGGTACAGGGCTTAGAAAACTGAATTTTATAGCAAAAATTGCAAATACTCATTACACAGCTCTTTTTTTAATTCTTGTAAAATTTGTTCAGATGGATAGTGTCATGGATAGAGTGGATGAGGGGTTGGCTGTGGAACTAGAGCCCATCCAAGAACAGCAACTCCCTCTGCCATATCTAGAAGCAACAACTATTCAGCCTGATGGACAAAAAAATAAATAAGAGATTTTGGTGGAGCAGGCTGAGGAAGAGTTAATGGTGTCTTCCTTTCTGGAACAGAGAAGAGAAAAATCTCATCTGAGACGTTCACTCAGGATTGCTGAGGGAATGGCGGATATTTATTTACCCTATTTATATCCTGCCTTTCTCAACCCCGAAGGGGACTCAGGGCTGCTTACATATTAGCAATTGGTATAAGCAGCAGTTAAGTTTTTGCAATATATTGTCTGATTGCTGGTTGCAGTATTTCAAACCATGCCTTGGTTTCTGTGCTCTGGAGAGCTGTGGACATGTTTAGAGTTTTGGACAGTTTCATTGATTGCAACTTTGATGATTTGATTGAATCAGGACTGGATTTTGGCTGTTTTTTTCCTGTTCCTTGAAAGTTTGTTGTTATTGAGAATTGCTTGGCTGACCTTGAACTTTAAGACTACGCTGCTGGAGATTCCAGGGCAAGGTATTTGACAGATATGATACCTATTGGAAACAACCTCCACATACAGGTGCCCTGTACATATATTCAATTATACTCAAGACAAGAAAATATGATTTTGGTAGTGGGGCTACTTTTACATCTAGATTGTTTGGCTTAATCCACCTTGACCTGGGTTTTAAACATAAAAGATACACAAATATGATGTAATGTATATGGGCACTGGAATGGGAGACCATGCCCATATGGATTAGGGAGCTCAAGTGTTATCTTAACACTTTTTCTGTCTGAGCACAGGACCAAAGAATTCCAAAGTGATGGGTTAACATTCAAAGATAAAAATTAATTAATCAAGTTCTATCCACTTCTGCCTTCCTCCAGAGCAGACCAGTTGTGCAGTCAACATATTGCTTGAGGCATTTTGTGACACTCAGTTTGTGTCCCAGACTAGAAGCAGGCATCCATCCCATGCCAGAGATCTAAGAGAAAAATATCTCAGCCAAACATGGTAAACATAGATTTTTCTCCTGGAGTGAAAGAAGTCTCTCCTGCGACATAGAAATAAAGCCATACTATATTTTCCCCTCTCTTTAGAATGACTTTCAACTTATCAAAACCCATCTGCCCTCAACTTACACAAAAGCATATATGGTATATGAATTTGGGGAGTCATTGTAGTGTCGTCAAAATGTAGCTTACTGATCACAGTCTCCTTTCATGATGCTGCTGCACTGATGCATTAATTATCTCTGAAATAGATCCTGAAAAGGGGCTTGAGCTGCAACCCAGTTTTCAAACATACAGGGCCCTTCTATACAGCCATATATCCCAGAATATCAAGGCAGATAATCCACAATATCTGCTTTGAACTAGGTTTTCTGAGTCCACATTGCCATAAAATACAGTTCAATGAGGATTTTATATAGCTGTGTGAAAGAAGCCACACTTATGTAAGCAGCATTAAATAATGGGTCCCATTTAGGAGAAAGATTGGATACTAAACAAACCAATGACTTCAATATTACGTACATAGCTCTCCAATTATTTTGTCCTTGAATGCAAAAATGTGATATGAAATGACTTGTAGGTACATGGATTTAGAATGAAAAAAGTGGCAAGTTTGAAGAATAAAGCACAGAGATATTCTGCTTCGATAATCTGGATTATTTGGCAGTGTAGAAGGGGCCCCAGATGCTTGACCAGTCCAACATGGTTGCCAGATAGGGACTCCCTGAGCCATCTTGAAGAGGCCCAACTGTCCAGGCATGCCAAATACAGTTTGGTACCACTGGACAGCAAAACTAAAGATATCTCTAACCCCCCCCCCCCCACCACCACCACCAGACTGTGATCAGTAAGCTACATTTTGACATATTGTGGCTGCCATGACACCTCATATCTTTGTTGCTCTGGCTAATGTTAAGATGAATCAGCCCTGTGTGGAATTTAGCCACCCATGACTGCAGTATTGAAAAAGCAAACATTATTTACCTGGTTCAAATGATCTAAAGCAGTGGTCCCCAACGTGTGGTCCGTGGACCACTAGTGGTCCACAAGAATGAAAATATGGTCCATGACTTCACCATTACTACACTGTTGCCTCAAAACCACGCAGTAATGAGAGCGACTGGTCTTGCAAAACCCTCTTATAGTGCCGAGGCAACAGGGTGAGGAGGACTTTCCATGAAAGATTACTACTACCACATCAGCTCTAGATTATTAAATATGGTTTTCTGGTTTTCTGTGTGTGAGCAGATAGTGGCTATTGGATGGCATATGTTCTGCATCAGAAACTAGTGCTGATATGGTCTATCCAATGCCATTTTCTGAATCAGCACCCCAAATAACCAAACCGGATCTAAAGTTGACCAAAAACGGATTTGTAACCCATTTGGAGAGTTGTCCCTGTTCAAAAAAGTTTGGGAACCACTCATCTAAAATATACATTCCATAATCTACCTACAAAAAGACTGTCTCGCAATTTTCATACTGGGATTGCAGATGGGTATGGCTGGTTTTGATTTCACAAATATTATAAATAGAAACCCCTCTTTTTTTCTTCTAAAATTAGAATGTACAAAACAATATAACTGAAATATATGACTATTTCTTGATTATTCCAAAATATATAAGTTCTAGGTAAGAGCTGAGGAACATGTGAGCTTCCACCTGCTGCTGCACTACAGATCCCATCACTCCTGACCAGCATTGTTGTCTTGGGCTGATGGAAATTGCAGCATCTGATTGACCATAGATTTCCCACTTCTGCACTGGACTTAACATTTTAAACCTAGCTGTTTTAAATATTTCAGAACACCCCCCCCCCCCCCGCAGTTCTCACTCAATTTTTGCATAGTGTGAAGTGTTTAAGAAAAGTTACAGGTCAAGTCTCTATTAGAGGTGTGCAATTCGGCCAAAAGGCATGCCGTTTTGGAGTCGATTGTCAGCTGACTCCTCATTCTGTTTACTGGGATGTTACTCAAATTGCGAGGGGTGTTGCTGTTTTCATTCAGCAAAGATTCAGCCCATTGGCTACAATGGGAAAGTTTAAATGCTTAATCCCTAGTCATTTAAAGCATGAACCCTACCTCAATTTTAAACCCCATTTCAACTGCAGATCAGCCAGATTTCAAAACAATTCACCAAACTACTGATTTTTTAGAATTATTTTGAGTTTTAACCATAACATTTTTAAAATAAGACAAACAGCAAGAAGCTTCTGGGAATCGCAATCACCAGTTGTGTCCATTTTCAGCCACCAGAGCATGGACATGACCAGGACTTTTATTGGTTGAGAAACAAGGAGAGAGAGAAAAGCTTTAACTCCCATCATGCTCTGAAAGTATCTCAGAGACTTTTCAATGGCTGCCCTATGCTTCTGGGAAAGCGAGGTCCCAGCAGGACTTTCTCTGGAGGAGGAGCCTAGGAAACTTTCCAAAAAGAAATGAATGAATGCTGCATCTGCCGAGAAGGGAGAAAAGACATGGCAGATTCTTGCCTCAGGTATATTACAGACTTAACTCCTTCCAATCCATGAACCGATAAAATCTGGCTCCCCTAATCAATTTTGCAAGACTTTTTTGCAAGACCCCTTTGCAGCTCCCTCCTCTGCATTCTGTTTTCAGATATTATATAAAACGGACCACTGAATATTACAAATCATTTTTGTTCAAACTGATTCGGGCCCAAGCCTACTCTCTATGTTTACCTAGCAGTACGCCCTTGTCAATTCAATGCAACTTTACTCTCACATAAGATTGTAGTCTTTCTTCTAGTTTTAAAAAGTAGCTAAAATGTCTGATCCAAAAGTATATTAATATGCAATTTGTTAGACAAACTATCTCGTCTGGGTCCTTGGCACCATTCACTTTCCTGATTTTAGCTCAATTTTCCTCAAATCTCTTTGTCCATTCTTTTTCTATATCCTATACGTTTATGTGTTCAGATTAGGTTCATTTTCCCTCTAATCTAAGTACCCATGTCCCTGTTTGACACTATAACCTATGTAACATCCATAATTATGCACATTGAATGCAATATATATGAAGTCCTGACTGTGTCCCTGGTTGTTACAGATTGGTGTATTTCCATGGTTATGATCTCTGATTATTTAATCTAAAAGGATTCAAAAAATCCCAAAACTATTGAATGCCCCAGTACAGCATCTGAGATGTTTTCTGGCCCTTGTAGGAAAAGTTGCTGATTTTGCAATTTAGAAAAGACTGTCGTCAAATAGATGGAACTTGTCACATCTATCATATTAATGATCCTTGAACTAAGATGTACTAAGTACAGATCAGCACAATAAACCACAATGCTCCAAAGCAACCATTAAGGCTGGATCTATTTTATGACTGATCTTTCACAATAATTAGAGCTCTCATATCTCCTGTCGCAGGAAAATTTAACGATTTTAAATTATTGAATGAAAAGTCTCACCAGCTGCAGATGAGCTCTACCAAATATTTAGCAAGCTTCATGTAATATTTAAATTTAACAATAGCAAAGACAATTAGACATATGTATTCATCAAACCTAGATCTCTGAATACTATGATCACCTATGACTACTTGTTATGATTCAGCCATACATACACACCAGTAGATTTGTAGAGGAAACACTTGTCTTAATCGAGTGATTTCTTCACACTTGTCTTAATCCAGTGATTCCTCCCATCCCTGGT